CATTCTATGAAAATATTAATGCTTATAATACATTGGCTGGATTTATAATTGGACCTACTTTTCAATTATGCAACCTAACACTTAAAAAATACTGGTAGCCAAAAACATATGCCTCCCATGCACTGTGTTGTTTTATGTGTAGATGAAGTAACACTTTTTTTTAGATCTCTCCTTTAGTTATATCTATAGAATCAAGAAGTATGCCACATCACAAAGCAAGTGACATAGAGACTAGAGACTGGAGACTTCTCTGCTGCCGTTGCTCCATAAGGCCATTCCATCCCTGCATCCTAACACATATTCATGTACATATGTGCACACACAAACACACCTCCCTTTAAACCTTTCTAAAGTACTGCAGCATGTTGTTTAGTCTGTGAGCTTGTGCTTATATCACACTCCTGATCTCTGCATGTTTAACTAAATCAGGCTTGTGGTTACAGGAGCCACAACTGAGTTATTCCTAACTTCCTCAAAATGAAGTTAGACAATAACTCTGCAGTTAGACAATCATCTCCCAATGCTCTCTCTCAGCAGGAAATATTTGGAATGGATGTTAAGTTAGAAAGATTGATCGAGAAATATGAGAACTCATTCCTTTTCCTTTAAGGAAACTGGTTAAAGGGGATTTTGAGCAGTACTTTTCTGGAACTTTCCAATATACTAAAGAACTGTAGTTTATATTTCTTAATAATTGTTCTTGAAGGAGGAGCCGCTTTGAATAAGGCATGGGAAAGTACGCTACCCGTGCCTTAGAAGTGCAGGAGTGCCCTCTGGTGGGTCTAGGTAGTCACTTCAGAAACTTGAAGCTCCAACCACTAAAATCTTATTTCCAGGAGCAGTGGTGTCTTGTTCTGTCTTTGCCCATCCAGGAAGCCCCATTTCAAACTCTGCTGTCACATCTAGACTTCTCTTAACTTTTCATATTCTTTATCATGCATAAAATGTGTACGTGTGTGTGTGCACGAGTGTGTGTGTGTGTGTGTGTGTGTGTGTGTGTATAT